ACTTGAACCAGACCACATATATATAATATTGCACATTTGTACGATAACATATTATTTACATGGCTGTCTCCAAAAGCATAGATTTGCATTCTTTTGAGTGCTATAAATTATAGTTCCCTTCAAGAAATCTGTTTCTTCAAAATTATATTTGAAGATCTGACAAGAAAATACATTTTCCGTATTTACCACTCACAGTCCTTAAATGCACAAAAGGATGCAAATTCCAAAAGAATTAATGCTAATCAAAATACAACATACTTTTGTATCACAAAACCATGTCAAAGGAAATGTCCACAAGGGTCGAATGCTTGGCCTTTAAATTTGGAAACACCAACAAACATCATTCCAACCAGATTCCCTCTACTATACCCTAATAAACCCATATAGAGCCCAAATTTTGATGAAACGGAAAAGAGCATGGATCATCAAAACCAACAGCAAAGAATGTAGGGTTTTACAAGCTATGAAAATCCAACCTTTTCTCGAAATGGCCTATTTGTCATTTTTTATGAAGTCCTTATTGTCCAGGTTTTTTTTTATCCGATACGATATAAAAAGGGATTATAAAAAATGGCAGTTTCAAATAAAAATCATCAATAATAAGTACAAAAAAAATAATAAAAAAATCCTGCATTACAACTTCGTCGTTTTTAACAGATCGAATAGATCAAAAAAATCACCATATATATCAGAATCCAATCTTCCCTAGAAATTACCTGATTGTCCATGGTGTTTATTTAAAAGAAAACCTCTAATAAGAATTTAAAAATACCAGTTTCTAATTTATTTTTTTCAAAAAAATAGTTGAAAAACACTCCGACATATAGCCCCAATTTTTTAACAAACGAAATAGATCAAAAATACGCCATAAAGATATAGGCGAAATCGATTCTAAAATAAACCTGTGCTCCACATTTATAGTCACCGTTATATGTAACATACCTCGAATTTCTGAAACACCGTTTTACCCTGACGAGGTTTTAAAACCCTAGTGTGAGAAATAATTCAGTTTTATATATGGAGAAGTGCAGGGTAGAGCGCTTGAGGAAGACGCTATGAAATCGGCTGGATATAAATGAAAAATGGGAGTGATAAAGCGGGGCGGTGCATTTATACTGTGACAGTTGTAAGGCAACGGGTTAACCCTAACCCGCATTCAAGGGAGATTTTTTTATTTTTACTGCTGTTTTTTCTTAATTAACCGAGCCCCATTTTGTCAAATAAAAAATATATATATTTTAGAATAATAATTTTTTAAAATGTCATACTCCAACGTATATCAAAGAGCGAAGCATGGCGAGACACGCATCGTAAATATACATCGTCTTAGACCTTTTTTGTTTTATTTCATCGTTTTTTTCATTTTACCACACTATCGCCATACCTCTTTCCTTCTTTTTTTATCCATTTTTCCACGTTATCCCCATACATCTTTATTTCTCTTCCATTTCTCCCACCCAATCACCCATTTCTAACAAATTATTATTGACATATACATGTTCGACTAGAATTTCAGAATTCTTTTTGATCTTTGCATTTAATGCTTTCACGAGGATTAGAAGAGTTTGTTGTGGGTATAGCAGAGATTTTTTTGCCAATTTAGGAGTTTTTACCCATATAATTTTGTTTTTTAATTCAGCTTGAACCATTTATTCTTATTGTTTATGTGATCTTCGATTTGAATTCTTCTGATTTTGATTTCTTTTTTATGTTTTGTGAGTTATTAAATTCCAATTATGTGATTGGTCTCAAATTGAAGCATTGCTATAAAAATTGATTAAGTGATAATTATTGAATTGTAAAGAACACTACGTGCTTTTTATGGTAAATAGGATGTTTGGGTTACCCTAGTTGAGGTACTCCAATGGGACTTCCATTGACAAAACTACTGAACTTAGGGTCCATTTGATTGTAAAGATAAAATTTAGATAGAAAAAAATGAATTTCAGGGAATTGAATTGTCTAAAAATCATTTTTCTGTGAATTGTAAATTAGTGTTTGATAGGTATAATTTTTCACGTGAAAAATGTTGAAGTAAAAGTATTTTTTAGTGTTTGTTTGTTTTTGTTTTACATGAAATTTGTCGATTAAAAGGATATAATTTATTGGTATTGGGGATGCGCCAACAAAAAAATAAAAATTTAATAAAATCATATATTTTTTGGTGTTCGTTTGACTTTGTTTTACATGAAAATTGTCAGTTAAAGAGAAATATTTTTTTTACAGTAATTTTTAAAATTTGTTTCCATTATCAAAAAATCGAAAAAAATAAGTAAATGTTACAGTAATCAAGAATTTCAATTCTCACCATTTTGGCGAGAATTGGAATTCCTTGAAAAGCAAGAAAAATCTTAGATGGCATGAAAAGCTAGAAAATGAATTTCATAGAAAAATAGAGTCATCAAACAAGCAAAAATATGGCATTGGAATTGATTTTTTATTTTCCATTGAAAAATTGGACGTATCAAACACGCTCTTATAGATTAAATTTACTGTTGTTTTACCCAAGTAAAAGTATTCTTGGTTCGTTTTGCAAATGGTGGGGGATTTCTTTTATCAACTAAAGTCAAGAAGTAAAAGCTATTCTGGCATGGAGTATTTCTTCATTTGGGTATGGAATCTATGCATTTGACTTTAACTTGGATATGATATTTCCTTATTATAAAGGAAAGTTTCTCTTTTGTGTTTTTTGAAGTTGCTAAGCAATTTATTTGACAATGTTTTCGAGTAATTTATCTTGAATTTATTAGATTTATGAGGTGCTTCTTTGATTTCTGCTGAAAATTTATTAGTTTATGTTTGCATATTTTTTTGTTAAAAATATGTAGATGGAGTGGTGTACAAATTGTTTCGTGCTCCTGGGCTACGGAGTATAACTTCGTAGCGCACGGAACAACAGCTTCGTGTACGCATGGAGCGATTAGGTTCGTGCACGTGCGGAGCCAAAAAAAAAAAAGAAAAAAATAATGAAAACATTTTTTTTAAACTAAAAAAATAAAATTTGAGGATGAAGCAGCTCCGTGTCAAACGGAGCAATCTTCTCCGTGCCTGCACGGAACACGGAACAGATCATGCAGGATCTGTTGATCTGTTCCGTGCGTGCACGGAGCAATTTGCTCTGTATGCTGCAGTGCACGCGCACACGCAAATTCTGCTCTGTGTACGCACAGAGCTACTTCGTCACCAAAAAAATCCCAAATGCCAGCATGATTTCTTGTTCAAAGTTTCCCCTTCCTCCATTAGACGACCCTTCTTTTCTTTCTTCCTCTGTTCATATATTTAACATTTTTATCTCCATTGATTTTTTATTTTTCATTCTCCAACAAATAATCCCTATAGGTGTTTATTGAGTAAATAATTAGTGAACAGAGGAATTGAATTGAGGCCCAAAGGGGACGGGTTGTTGTAGCAGCAAGATCGTTGATTCTAAAGCAAGTCGGGTGCCACGGTTAGGGGTAGACATGGGTTGGGTTGGGTTGGGTCAATTTTTTCCCAACCCAACATGACCGGTTTAATCAAAATTTAACCCAACCCAATCAAGTATTGATCGGGTTGGGTTGGATTGGTCGGTTTGGGATAACTTGTCGATAAAGTTTAAACAAGTGCATTCATAAATAAATAAGAAAAGGCCCTATGCAACACCAATTGAATCATGGAATATTTGACCCCTTACAATAAAAAGGCCTACTGCAACACTGTCTGATACTCGCTTATTTCTACAGTATTTTTATAGCTTCTATGGGCCATGAGAATAATTATTTGCTTCCAAAAATGAGCTATCCCTTCAAGCAACACAATAGAGAAAATGTCATATTTCCCCCAATTCAATTCGATTTCAAGCCACTGTACATAAATACTTGTGTACCCAAAAACTAAGAATGCATTTTCACCAAACAAAGCCAAAGATATCTCCACTGAATCATAGTTTAAAAGATGAGAAAAAAATTCATTCTGATTGTGATTTATAGAACTTGAAAAATGAAGAGTGAAAAAATTTACCTGGCTCGTAGGTTTCCTAGCGCTGGACGTCCGATGATCGGCTTGGGACAACTGAAAAGCGAAGGTGGCTGTTGTCAAGCGAGAGCAAGAGAGAAGACTAAGAGATTTTATTTTACTTTTAGGGCTCTTTGGAGTTTTACTAAACGGAGGATTGGCACTGTTGATTCGAGGGGTGGAAGAGTTGTCGTCGCCCTTTACTGAACGAAGGATTGACGCTGTTGATTCAAGCCACAAAATCGACCAGATTCCCTGTACTGTGTAGACTCACTGCCTTTGGGCTTTGTAATTGAATGAATTTGGAGGAGAATAGGTTTTCCTCTTAAGGGAAATGGAAATGGAAATGGGAGGGAGAAACGAGAAGAAAAATGCAATTGACTTAACTTACCCGTAGCAGAGGACATCTATTGATTTAAAAAAGAGGATAACCATTGATTTAACTTACCTGCAATACAGCCCTAGAAATCTGATATGCTTTTTCTGTTTTCAAGACTTTTTTATGTTATTAATTTACTATAAGGGTCGGTTTGGGCAGGTTGGGGCGGCTAACCAATAACTCGACCCAACCCGACAGAAATATGCAATTAATGACTCGAACTGAACCCATTTCATTGGAAAAATCAACCCAAACCGCTCGGGTCGGGCCGATCGATTTGGGTCAGTTTTTGCCCACCACTAGCCACGGCGGCGGTCCACTGGAAATGTTTCTTTGCAGGACTGCAAGTTGAAGGCATCATTTCATTGATTGCCTTTATTATTTCACATTCTTGCTGGGTTTATAATTTTTTTTTTTTTCAGTTTTGATTATGATTTATTATTTTGAATTTGAATTACTCTCGATCAAATTGAAAGAAAGAGTTTCATTTGTGGAAAATCAGATTAGATAGCGATGGAATTTTATCAGAATTATGTGTATTTTGTTTATGCTGGGATACTTAGTAATTGTATTTTTGAATTTTCCATTGTTGTGGTTACAGACGTTTCCGGATGAAGTTATCGACCTTGAAAAATCTGTGCGCGCCCTCGATTTAACGCACAATAGATTGGGTAATGATATTTTCTTTAGTATTTGAAGCACCTGCTTTTGTTAGCATTTTTGTTTTTAAATCCATTCTTTAGTGTTAAGGTTGCGTTAGTTTCATAGAATTCTTGGTACCCAAATCCCTCTTTTTCTCTGTGTGCTGTTGCAGTTGATATTCCCATGGAGATAAGCAACTTGATTAACATGAAATTGTTGGTAAGAATGCAGATTTGAGCTTTTGTATCTACGTGTTAGTTTTCTTGAACATGAATCAATTTTAAAACTTAAATATAATATGTAAGAAATTGTGCAATTTTGCTTTATACGCTAACAGTGGCTTCAATGTGATTGGATAATTGAATGTTTTATTTCTCCTTAAAATACTTGCAGAAGTTAAAGGTGAAAGCTAAAGTCACAAGGAATTTACAGAAAGTAGACTGTTATCTCTATTTTTTTTTTTTTTTTTTTTTTTTTTTTTGATATCTAGATATCCACCTTACAGTGACTAAATCCTGGAGTCTACACATTGGCCCCTCAAACTGCAAACAGGTTAAATCGCAAGTTGTGCACCAAACTGGCCAGTGCTCAAGAGCCCCCGCAACTGATCTGCCAAAGTGTCAAACAAGTCGTTTCCCATCTTTGCACCTTACCTTCCAGTAGAGCTCCTGCCTTCCAAGAGAATATCTGCCTTCTAAGAACCTTCTAGGAATCGAACTCACGACCTCTGATCTGCCAACCTTAAAGCGCCCTCATCTTTATCAGTTGGGATGTGCCCTGGGGGGCGATTGTTATCTCTATTATTGTTAAATAATGCTGTTGATGCCTATGGTTTTTTTACTTTTGTGGATGAACTAAATAGAATGTCTTGAGTAGTAACTCTCAGTGGTTATTCTCCGTGCTTAAAAATGCAGTAAAGGCAGAGTCACAATTTGTAATTAGGTGCAAACCATCATAATTAATTGTACCAATTCAAAAACTAGGTTTGATGATGTAGATTGCAAGTATTGAACTACTTTGGTCATCAGCATATTTCCTGTTGGGCTGCAATTTGACTCTAGCAATCTTTTGATTAGATTT